CACCGCCAACAACGGAGACCAGGGAAGACATCAAGAGGTTGGGCACAAGAGCCTTCTCCAAAGCGATGCTCTTTATCAGGTAAAGCTCTCATATTTTGGAGGAGGGGGAAAAAAAAATCATGTATCTAATTTATAATCTGTATCATGAGTCGCTGAATTATGACTGTTTGCATCAATTTGCAGTACATTTTGGAGACGAGCGTGTACCCCCGTGAGCCCGAGTGCATGAAGGAGCTCAGGGAGGTCACATCAAAGCACCCATGGTATATATATGGTTAATTAATTGTGCACTGAAATGTAATTATTATTGGGTTAATTTCCATAATTAATTAGCACCATATAAATTAACAAACAGTTCATTCTTTACTCATCTAGTCATTAGACCATCGGGTAATTCTTTGCTTTCAAGTTCTGTACTAATTTGAAAAAGACTCGAATCGATTTTAGTTTCACAAAATATCCAGGTTGCGGATCTATACATCACAGTTATATATATATATATATATAAAGGAATAATTAAATTTTCTCCCCGTAGGAACATCATGACGACGTCGGCCGACGAGGGCCAGTTCTTGAACATGCTGTTGAAGCTCATCAACGCCAAGAACACCATGGAGATCGGCGTCTACACCGGGTACTCTCTGCTCGCGACGGCCCTCGCCATCCCTGACGACGGCAAGGTACGTACTAGATTGATTAGAGTCTGTAGAGACCAAAGTTTTAAAAAATACGTGTATGTGACCGAAGTTTTGTTGATGCGTGTGTAGATATTGGCGATGGATATCAACAGGGAGAACTACGAGCTTGGCCTCCCTGTGATTGAGAAGGCCGGGGTTGCGCACAAGATTGACTTCCGTGAGGGCCCGGCTCTGCCCGTCCTCGACCAAATGATGGAGGACGTAAGAAATTACCTGAATTTTTTTTTGTTGTTGTTGTCATTAGTTAATCATTTCTTAAAACAGATTTGAGTGTTTTTTGTTCTTAAAACTGAACCAATCCTGTACCGTTTAGAAAAGAGAATGTTTGATAAGGTCCAAATAATTAAAATGTCCCTTTCTTTTTAATTAATGATAACAAAAATTAAATGTCACGGCACTAACCAACCACACACAAAAAAAAAAATTCGATTGCTCAGCCAAAATATCACGGCTCCTTCGACTTGTGTTCGTGGACGGCCGACAAGGACAACTACTCAACTACCACAAGCGCATCATTGAGCTCGTCAAGGTCGGAGGCCTCATCGGCTACGACAACACTCTCTGGAATGGCTCGGTGGTGGCCCGCCTGATGCGCTCTGAGGAAGTACGTGCGCTACTACCGCGACTTTCGTCGCTCGAGCTCAACAAGGCCCTCGCCGCTGACGAACGCATCGAGATCTGCCAGCTGCCCGTTGGCGACGGCATCACCCTCTGCCGCCGTGTCAAGTAATTCGGATTCGGATTCGGATTCCGATACAGAGAGAAGGATCTGTTTGTCCTGCTTACTTTGGTCTTTCTTTTTAAAAGCAAAATTAAGCAATGTGTTTGATTCGTACTTATGTAAGAAATGTGATTGGCGCAATGTCTCTACGTTGGATGATGATCAACTGATATTGTTGGAGGCTAAACTTAATTTTGTGAACATGTGTATGGGTTCCTCATTTATAACAGTGTTTGTCGTAAAATGAGATCCCAAAATTTGTATTAATTGAATTGTTTATTACAAATCGAAATCGCGTTTACACAAAAGCAAAGAGAATTGATTCGATCTCTCTTTGTTTAACGTGGGTTCTTTGGGGCGATAGGATGCTTCCCTCGATGCTCGTGTCGAGTTTGATTCCCTTTGACGATTCGAACGAGGTTGCGGACAAACTTCAGCGCGTGGTAGAAGTTTGGTTGGATAAGTTCGAAGGCCGAACAAGTGCTTGATTGCTTGTAGGCCGAGTATGTCGAGATCTCAAAGTTCGGTCCTCTTCTCCTGAGGATTCGAACAAGACTGCTAATAAGCTTCGTCGCATGGTAGAAGCTTTATCGGAGTTTGAATACCCGAGCTAGGATATTTGAGAGCCGAGTGCACAAGATGCTAGGTTCGTCTTCTTGCCTTCGTACCTTTCCTCTCTTTTCTGTCCCCCTTTTCTTGTAGCAATCAGTGGCTTTTTATAGAGGAGAATGACTAGTAACCACCCCCTCAAAACGTGGAAAGTGGGCACAACCACTTCCACGTTTCAAGCTTTAGTGGCTGACTTGGTCAAGCTGTGCAGACGAGCTTGACAATTCAGGCGAGCTTGGGCGAGCTTGCAGGCGAGGTTGGCGAGCCTGACGAACATGCATGCGAGCTTGGCACATACAGGCGAACTTGGAACATGCATGCGAGCTTGGCACATGCAGGCGAGATTGGAGTACGCGGGTGAACCTCGTAGGCGAACATATCAGGCGAGCTTCAATCAATTCAGGTGAGCTTCAAACGTTCAGACGAGCTTGGCTCATGCAGGAAAGCTTCGTAAGTATTGGTGTGGGAAAATTACAAGAAAGTTAAGAATAGAACTTGTATTATTCTCTCTAACTGACTTAGAAAAAGAATGATTACAATCCTTTCAATACAATTTCTCTCTAACTGACTTAGAAAAACAAATTACAACTTTCTTTATCGGTTTCTCGATTTACAAAAGAGGAAAGGATGAAACCCTCCCTTTATTTAAAACTGGATTCTTTCTTAGTGGCGTTGGGAGTTTGATTCTTGTATCCCGTTGACGATCCGAACACTTCAACTTCGTGGGACGTCGGTCCTCTCTCCTCGACTTTACGTCTTGAGAGAACTTGCAAGGCAAGTTTATAACTCTAGCCGAGTTTTGAGAACTCTCTGTAAGAGAGCTAAGAACTCGTAAGGCAAGTTTGGAATTCTTCCCGAGTTTGGGGGGAACTTGCTGGGCAAGTTGTGAACTCTACGCGAGTTTGAACTCCAAAGAAGAATTGAACCTTCAAGAGAACTAAAAGAAATGGGTTTAAAGACCAAGCCAAGAGATCCAAGAATGCTTTAAGAAGACTCTTCAAGAAGCCCAAAATCTCCAAGAAACTCAAGCTCTCCAAGAAGCTCCTGCTCTCTCTCCTCCTCTTCTTATTTTTTTTTTGCTGGAGATCCAACCATATATATAGAGAAATCATGGGTGTAAGACACCCCTTAACTGGCCCATAACTGGGCCCTTAACTGTGCCCATACCTTGACAGGATAGTTTTGAAAATTGTTCTAGAGTCAAAACCCAATGGTCGCGTTTTGGAGAGAAAACGCGGGGTGAACTCTGGGTTTGAGTTCTGAAAATGCAGGGTGACCTCTGCGTTTTGTCTTGGCAACACAGAGTGACCTCCGCATTTGAGTTATAAAAACGCAGGGTGAACTCTGTGTTTTGTCTTGGCAACCCAGAGTGACCTCTGCGTTTGAGTTCTGAAAATACAGGGTGAACTCTACGTTTTGTCTTGGCAACGCAGAGTGACATCTGCATTTGAGTTCTGAAAACACAGGGTGAATTCTACATTTTGTCTTGGCAACACAGAGTGACCTCTGCGTTTTGAGTTTTGGGGCGCGGAAGCGCTCCGCATTTGGATTTGTAGAGATCATCAATTTGTAATCTCCTTTCTTCGATTTTTGTGCAGATTGCCATCTTGTAATCTTTACACTTGGCCTTTGTGGAATGTGAGAGTCGTCAATTTGTAACCTTCACCTATTGTTGTGAAAGTCTTCACGTTGTAACTTTCATCAACTGTTACGGAGGTCGTTAGATTGTAACTTCTGCTTGTTGATGTGAAGGACGTCAGATTGTATCTTTCACCATCTGTTATTTTGTGGGGATCGGCTATCTATAGTTTTTTAAACAGCCTACAGAACCTCCTCTAAAGTTTTTGAAAGTTCGCGGTTGACTGGAACGGATTTTCAAAATACTTTGGATCTCAAGTTTAGTCTTGGAGTTGTTGATTCCTTGTCATAAAGGAGCTGTTCACTACGTCATCTTCGAATGCATCATGAACTCGGTTGGAAGGATTTGCCTTGCCAGACCCATGTGAGGGTGGACGTTTGGCTCTTGGAACGCAGGTTTGACCTCGGTGTTTTTTTTCCGCACTGTTGGGAAAGGTGATAAGTCGATTATCAGAGGTGTATTGTTAACATGACATGATCTTTATTGTGATTTGAATAACTTTGTAGACCTATCATCCTATTGGAGAGGATTGATAAGCTGATTGTCAGAGGTGTAGTGTTAACATGATAAGAATTTTGTTGTGACTTGAACAACTTTGTGGACCTATCATCCTATTAGAAATGATTAATAAGTTAACTGTTAGAGGTGTCTTGTTAACATGACATGATTTTTGTTGTGATTTTAACAACTTTGTGGACCTAGCATCCTATTAGAGAGGATTGATAAATTAACTGTCAGAGGTGTAGTGTTAACATGACATGAATTTTGTTGTGATTTGAACAACTTTATGGACCTATAATCCTATTGGAGAGGATTGATAAATTAACTGTCAGAGGTGTAGTGTTAACATGATAAGAATTTTGTTGTGATTTGAATAACTTTGTGAACCTATCATCCTATTGGAGATGATTGATAAGTTGACTGTCAGAGGTGTAGTGTTAACATGATAAAAAATTTATTGTGATTTAAACAATTTTGTGGACCTACCATTTTATTGGAGAGGATTGATAAGTTAACTTTCAGAGGTGTAGTGTTAACATGACAAGAATTTTATAATCAGAGAAGTTTGTCATATTAAGAATGAAACAAACTGAAGTTATACTCCGTAGGGATGATGATAATCAGAAGTGTAATGTTAACTTGACGAAGTGAAAGATTCGTTACTCTTAATCCAGTAGATTCCAAGCAACCAACTCCTAATCTAAGTGAGTTCAGTTTTCCTTTTTAGACTCAGTTGGGGGGAGGAAAGGGGATCCCATGATTCTCTATGGGTAATATTTCTTGAGAAATTTTCCATTGATTGGTATCATGAGCCTATCACCTTTTTTGATTAATGAGACGGTAGATCCTATTTGAGTAGATTGACTTTACCACGAAGGGTCCTTCTCATTTAGAATTGAACTTCCCTTTCGTATTGTGCGTCATGACCATGGGTCGTCTGACTGCTAATATAAGATTACCTTTCTTAAAGATCCTTTCTTTGACCGTTTTATTGTAGGCTTTGGAGATCTGAGCTTGATATAACTCGATCTGTTACTGAGCATGAAGTCGCTTATCATCCAACGTTTCCAGTTCTTAAAGGCGTAGTCGATAAAGGTCCTCATCTGTCATCCCGGTCGCAAGGGAAACTCTCAGAGATGTGATCTAAATTTCTAATGGTAGTATAGCCTCGTAAACATATACCAAAGAGAAGGGAGTAACTTTTGTTAGGGTCCTCACCATTGTGCGGTAGGCCCATAGACATTCGCCGAGTCGTTCGTCCCAGTCACGTCGGCTTTTGGAGACGAACTTCTTGAGAAGCTTCATGATTGTCTTATTAAAAACTTCCGTAAGGCCATTAACTGACGGGTAATATGTTGTTGACATAACGCTTTGGATTCTAAACTTATTGCAGAATCTCTGAAAACTGTAGCTGATAAATTGGGTTTCATTATCATGAACTATTCGCCTTGGTACGTCAAAATAGTAGACGATATGGTGTTTGATGAACTTGACCACGTTCAAAGCCTTGACTTCTTTCAAAGAAACTGCTTCTTCCCATTTGGAGAAGTAATCGATTATTGTCAAGATAAACCGATACCCTTTGGATGTTGAAGGGAAAATGGGTCCAACAATATTCATTCCCCACCTCTTGAATGGCCAAGACAGAGATATTGGATGCAGATTCCCTGGTGCTTGATGAATAAAATCACTGTGGACCTAGCACACATGACATCTTTTATCATAATTGATGGCGTCGGCGATCATTTTAGGCCAGTAATAGCCGAGCCTACGGAGTCGATCCCCTAGTTTAGCCCCGGGTTGATGAGCTCCATACATTCCGTCGTGAGCTTCTCTGAGAGCTTCTTGTGCCTCTTTCCTGGAAAGACAGCGAAGCAAAACTACATCATGTGATTTTCGATACAAAGTTCGAGATAATACATTGTAATAGAATCGAAGGGCCTTCCGTTTAATAGCATACGCTTCTTTAGAGTCATCGGGCAGTATGCCATGCAAGACATAGTCGATGAACGAGAATCACCAATCTCTTGGTTCAAGACCTGTGGAAGCTTCGCAAATGATCTTTGTTGTTGCCACTTCTAAGAAATTTCCTTGAGGGAACTTGGGGTGATACAAATCACAGCCTGCCATGAGTATCTTTATTTCTACCTTTGATGGCAATGCTAGTAAAGTTACCATCGAAGCTAAGGCATCTGCATAGGCGTTACGGGCTTGTGGAACGTGTCCGATAAAGAAGCCCTCAAAAATTTGAGCTAACTTTAGCGTCGTAAAGTGGAATGAGACCAAATCCTCGTTACGCACTTTGTATTCTTCTTGGACTTGATTTACGATGAGTTGAGAATCACCGTAGGCTTCAAGGTATTGGATGTTGAGTTCCTCGGCTAGCTGCATTCCTAGTAGCAAAGCATTATACTCCGCTACATTGTTGGTGCATGGCTCGACTAAGGAAAATCCTCTTAGGATCACCTGACCAGATGGGGATACGAGCACAACCCCCACACCGGCTGTGATTCCACCA